TTTTTTTTTGTTGGGTTGGGTTAAATGGGTTTTGGTTCTTTGGGTTTTTGGGCTTTTGGGCTTTTGGGTCTGAGACTTTAAATCAAAATGGGTTGGTGTTGGGTTTGGTTTGAGTTTTGGAGTGGGCTTTGGGTTTGATGGGTTTTGGGTTTGTAAATTCATTTTGATGAACTTCACCCCTCCAACTTTTAATTTCTTCCATTGAGTCCTTTTTCTTGTTTTCTTTACCATCCTTTTCGTGAAATCCCTTTTACCCATAAACCTAACAATAAAAGCAAAGATAACAATATATTAGTTAAGAATAAAATAAAATCATATTAAAAATTTGAGTTATGACAAACATAAAGAAGTAAAAGAACCATACCTCGAGTAGTCTTACGAATGAATAAAGCTATATCATGTGGACTGGAAGTAAAACCAAACTCACTCACAGTAGCACTAAACTTTGTATACCAGACTTGAGGGGATTGCTTCAACCCTTATAATGCACGGCGCAATTGGCATACCTTGTTTGGAGGATGGTTGAGCCCAGAAGGTGGTTTCATATAAACTTCTTCTTCTATGTTACCATTAAGAAGAGCATTTTTCACATCCATTTGAAACAATTTCCATCTCCACATAGCAGCGATAGCAAGCAAACTGCACATAGATGTAAGACAAGCAACTGGAGCAAATGTCTCCTCATGGTCGATTCCATACTCCTGTGTAAAACCCTTGGCAACCAAGTGTGCCTTATAATGCTCCACAGAACCATCAGATCGTGTTTTGATCTTGTACACCCATTTACAGCCTATTAGAGATTTTTCAGCAGGGAGATCAACTAAATCACATGTACGAGTGTTCTCAAGAGCTTGTAATTCATCTTGCATAGCTTGTTGCCAAAGAGGGTTAGAAAAGGCCTCTTGATAGGATTGAGGCTCATATAACGAAGTAATAACAGGAAAACAATGATAATCATGAAGGTAGTTGGGAGGGTTTCTTACTCGAGGATGGGACAACAAGCTCATTTGTAGAATCAACAGGTGATACAGACCAGAAAGTAGAAGAAGGCTCAAAATTATCTAATGCATTACCAGCAGGCAGATCATCTTCTATAGAACTAGTTGGTGCATGTGGTGAGGCATTGTAGAGCTCATTAGATGTACCTGCATTAGAATCACTAGGAAATAGCTCAATAGAAGGATTAGTAAAAAATGGAGGTTGATGAGAGGATGACACTTTAAAGTTTGACAATGATGAGAACATAATGTGTTCCCAAAAGACAACATGATGTGAAACTCGGAGTTTTTGTGACATAGGATCCGAACAACGATATCCTTTTTGTGTAATCCCATAACTCAAAAAACAGCATAATCGAGCTCTAGGTTCTAACTTGTTATGTTCATGAGGTGGAAGAAGAACAAAACATGCACAACCAAAAACCTTAAGAAGATTATAAGCAGGAAGAATACCATGTAGACGCTCATATGGAGACTGATTATTAAAGACTGATGATGGAATGCGATTAATAAGATAAACAATTGTAAGAGCAGCTTCACCCCAAAATCGCTCTGGACAAGAAGATGAAATGAGCAGAGCACGAACAGAATCAAGGATGTGTCTATGTTTGCGTTCGGCTCACCTATTTTGTTCAAAAGTATAAGGATAAGATTGTTGTGGTAGTGTACCTTGTTCTTTAAAAAAGGATTGAAGTTTAGTACCAAGATATTTAGTAGCATTGTCAGTTTTAAAAACTTTAATAATTTTAGAGAACTGAGTTTTGACCATGGTAGCAAAATCAATATAAATTTGTAATAATTCAGAGCGACTTTTCATAAGGTATATCCAAGTAAAATGAATATGATCATCAATAAATAACACGAAGTACCTGGAACCCCCCATGGTGGGTGTAGGAGATGGACCCCAAACATTAGAATGCACGAGATCAAAAGGAACAGTAGAATGAGAATGACTACTCGAAAAAGATAAAACTGGTTGCTTTATAGATTGACATGACACACAATGCACAGATTCATTCGAAACTGATCCTAATAAACAACGAGAGATAAGTGGACGAAGTTTATCGACTGAGGTATGTCCGAGTCGTGAGTGCCACAAATGGAGAGGAGAAATGTTAGTAGCAGCACAAACTTGAAAGATTTGTTGATATGGAATTTGCAAAGACTCTAATTCAATAGCACAAAGCAGGGTTTGGATGAATCGATCATTTGGAAATGATGGTGTATCCATTTTATTATTAGGAATATGCAGATAGTTGATCTCAAACAAATGCCCCACCTTGTGACCAGTTCCAAAAAGTTGTCCTGTCCGTGAGTCCTGCACACGACAACCATGAGCAGAAAATGTTACTTCAAGACGAAGATCACATAATTGATCGACAGATAGAAGATTATAACTAAGTTTTGAAACTAAAAAGGCATTTGGTAAAGTCAATGACTTTGTAGAAACATTGCCAATGTGACTAACATTTATAGGGGAACCATCAGCAGAATAAATATCAGTAAAGGAATTATTATGTGACATTGAAGAGAAATGAGCAGTAATTGAAGACATATGGTTACAACAACCAGAATCGAAATATTGAGATTTGGTACTCGGAGCAGTAGATTAGGCAGTAGGAGCATTAAAAAGATTTAATATCACTTATTTTAGGGATTCAAGGTTGACATTAGGTTGTTCTATTACTTCTTTGGCAACCATAGCAAAAGCAGGATGAGTTACAATTCTTTCAAAACTCGCCATAAAATCAGTAAACTCACAATACTGAAAAACTCTAAAACTATGAAGAAATATAGGCCAAGATCGAAATAACAAACCAACAAAATACCTCAGAAAATGCTTGAGAATCAAGGATAAACAATCCAATCTACAGAAGAAGAGATCCTAACGACAAAGTTTCAGATCTGGAATGGAATTGAAAATCCAACTCCAAAAAACCCAATAGCGATAATAAGAGAAAAGAACCAAGAGCTTATAGCTCTGATACCATGT